GAACGTTATTTATTAAAATTTTATTTCTATTATTATTATGGCACGATTGTTCTGTTTATTAATTCGTTTACAATTTTTTTCGCGCACCGCGTAATAGATTATACAGCGGTTCGCCAAGTAGTGACGTATTATTTTGCGGTATTGCATAGAGAAACTACTGGCGAACCTGTTCTTTCGAGCCTATCTCTCTATCGAATCTAAATCTTTCGCATTGCAGAGTCGTTGACTTTTTCACGAATCAATCTCGCTGGCCTCTAATGCTACATAATCTTTATTTTAAAGATAACGGTCAAAACAAACGGCGTGAAACTGTACAAATTGAATTTCATTCTGCATTGAAGAACTTATTTCCATTTACATCAAGATTTCAAAGAAAAATGTGTGAATCTAATTAAAAAATAAGCATTACATACGTTACAATTTTTGTAACATATACATAATTACAAAGTCTTCTATAACACTAACTTACAAAGTTTTGTGCAAGAACATATGAATACTATTTTTAAGATAATTCTCGATGCTGAGCTTCTGCCATCGAAATATTTCTATTAGGTCCGGTTTTTTAAATATGGGAAGACATTTTTTCCAATATACATATAATGAAATTTTATTCAAATTCAAAAAAACAAATCAGAAATATTGAGCGTTTAATGTTTATTTTTATATATTTTTAGATCATTTTCACGCATTAGAGCCAAACAATAGTTGCCTAGTATATTTTCATTCTAAAACCTCTGATAATGTTTCTCAATTATCATAAAATCCTGCTGGAGACGCCTTGTTTATCCAAATTATTTGGATAGAAATCTTATTTAAAAAACGGTTTGCTATATCTTAAAAATGATATGCTATATCTAAAAACTGATGTGTGCTGTATATTTGAAAAATTTTACCTAATGAAATTTTTCTGATAGTAGATTCAAACTCGGCGTCCCAAAATACATTAAAAAAAGTTGTTTCCTTTGCACTAAAAAAATATTCATTAAATCCATAAAAGACTCCAATAAGAACGGCATTTTTGTTATAACAAATAGAATAGTAGTTATGTGACAACCAGAAATTCTGTTCGATCTCTCCAAAATACCATTCTCGTACGGCCCTTTTGTTGATTTAATTAGAACATTTTTCTTAGCGTACTATTATAATTTTTTGTAGGATAGTTTTAATTGTTATTTTGTAATACGGACTCAAAACAACTTGGAAATGAGTTTTCCGATTTTCTTCTGAATTCGAAAATTCGTATAAAATGTTGAATTTGATAGCAAGAGTAATCTGTAGAAGTAATCCGTATTCTCGATGGACAATGAACATTCAAGGGTCATTAGCTTGACACGGTTTACTAGAATTAATTTATTCCATACGAGGAAGAGCTCGATCATGCAACCGGCACAGTGGTTGATGGTGCGCGTATAGACCTTATTATACGCACAGATGATAACATCCCAGTTGAACGAGAGTAACACGCGATCATCTCCCACGTGGAGGATGTGCGACGGCTATGATGAGAAGCGCACGTTTCTCCAGAGAGAGAGAGAGAAAGTCCGCTTCGCCGGGCGGATACGACAAAGCTGCGGCAATGAATCCTCTCATATGTTTATTTCCGAAATTCTGGGTCAAGTTCTTGTTTGTCCGAAAAGTAGCTGCTTGCTCGCGACGAGTTAACAATGTTCTTCCTCAATTTCGCTCCGAAGGCGAAAGCGCTTCACGCTTCGGAGATTGACGCGGGTACGTACGCATTCGTCGTAACGGTGACTTTTGATAGCCGACGGATTTCACCTCGCGTCAGAAATCCAAGCAGTTGAATTATCTTTATTAGTAAAATATCTGAGACTTTGAAACTAAAGAATCTTAATAGGAACGTAGCTATAATAGAGATGTCAGTAATAACATTGAATGAATTTTTCAGCTGGGCAGTTTCCACAGTGATGACGAGGCAGAACCTGGTTCCAAGTCCCGATGGTTCACGCATGATCCACGCTTTAATCCCGATGTGGGATATGTGCAATCACGAGAACGGAAGGGTAAGTCATGGAGATAATGAGCCTGGCGTGAATGAGCAATGCGTTTTCTGTCATTACTATAGATTACGACGGACTTCAACGCGGCTTCGGATCGCTGTGAGTGCTACGCGTTGAGGGACTTCAAGAAAGGAGAACAGGTGTTCATAAGTTACGGCCCGAGAACGAATTCCGATTTCTTCGTGCATTCGGGCTTCGTCTGCATGGATAACGAACAAGTATGCACATTTATTTATTTAAAATTTATGTATTTATGTAACAAACGACATTAATCTGTTGCTAAAAGGTTTAATATTGGAATAACAAACTGTGAAGGCAACTGATGTCTATAATAATATTTTTGCTAGCAAGAGAAATCAACGTCGATGATTTTATCAAAGAATTTATAGCAAAGAGCGAATTTTACAATGCGAATTTCTATATACATTATTTACAAAGGCATATCGCAATATGGTATGTTACAGGATGGCTTCAAGCTTCGTCTTGGTATTAGCAAAGCGGATTCTCTTCAGAAAGAACGAATAGAACTGTTGAGCAAACTGGATTTGCCGTCAGTAGGAGAATTTTTACTGAAACCTGGTACGGAGCCGATCTCCGATACGCTATTAGCCTTCTTGCGAGTGTTCAGTATGCGAAAAGCCGAGCTCACACATTGGTTACGCTCGGACAAGGTCTTCGACCTGAAACACGTGGACTGTGCGTTGGAGACAGTCGTCGAGGAGAATGTCAGAAAATTTTTGCTAACCAGACTGCAGCTTTTAATCGCTAATTATCCTACAACATTGAAGGTGAAAGTGAAATCTGATGTTGCGCTGTCTGCCTTTACTCTGCCTTCTCCGTCGATCGCACACGATTAATCAACACAAATATTTTTTTTTTATAGGAAGATCTAGAATTACTGGAGACAACGTTGCCGCAGATGAAAAAAATGGCAGTTCAATTGAGGGTCACAGAAAAGAGAATTCTTTCAGGTGCACTCGAATACGTAGAGCAATGGATAAAGGCTTAAAACGATCGGCTGTAATTTGGCGAAGGTGTCGAACACATATATTTACGGTTAAAAGCATCTCGAGAAAAATCAACTTTATTTTTACAATATTTCCGAACGATTTCAAATATAAAAGTAAAATATATAGAGATATATATATAATATATATAAAAGTAGACGAATTATATGTAATAAAGCGTATATTTATCGTCTGTTAAATATGCAAACTCTTCATTTGGTCGACGTGTGTGCGCGTACTAATTATAAGAAAAAAATGCATTGTAAAATATTTGAGAATTATATGAATGATCGATTATATATGTATGTCTATGTGATATATAATGTAATTGTATAATAATAGTGTGCTCAGCAAATATCTTAATTTTTGTTTTTGTAGAATGGAGACTTTCAATAAGCTTCTTCGTACTTGTTTTTTTTTTAAATTGCGTACCGACTCAAATGTCGATCAATAGAGAGAATGAGAGATTGAATGATTTTGATCTATGACTACGAGAATTAATATTCTACTTGCTCTGCTTGATATATAACATTTTAAAAAAAGATATTCATACAAAAGAGAATACTGTTTTTTAATGAATATTTATTTTTCAGAGCAAATACATAACAGAGCTGAAGGACTTGATATGAAACTATAATAGCGTAGGCCTACGACATTAGACTTGCATACGCCGTAAAACATTTAAAACATTTCCTGACGCACGAGTGAATTTGAACGACCCGCGTAAATACAACCCCTGCGAGGTGTTTCCGTGTGTTTATGCATTATAAATCATGTTTAACTTCGTGATCTCGTTACTGTATAAATCGTTGCAAGACGATAATAGTATCGCGCGTCTCACGCGTTGGTTAGATCTCTAGGAAATGCCAGATTTCGCGAAACGAAATTAAAATTAACGAAGCTAATTGTAGCAAAATACTATGATCAGGCTACAGCAGGACTGATAGCTCCGAATATCGCTTTTTTAAATATATTTCAATATAAGAATAATTAAAAGAATGTTACATAATAAACATACATCATTTGACATGTACGTAATATATGCGATGAGATTTTAAACCTATAATGTGATCAAGTATGTATATCTTTACAAGCTGTAAGAAAATTCATTGCATCTGCGATACAATTTTTTGAATGAATAATTCGCATAAAGTAACCGCCAAGTGTAATAGCGGAATGTATTTACAAATTTAATTTGTATTGACGTGCGTTGCTCGGAAAATTCAGGAACACAAAGCAGAAAGAGTAAAAGATTATAAGCAAAATTTCAATCTCATAAAAATAATACATAATATACATATATAATTAATAAAAACGAAAAAGTATAATATATAACGTTAATAAATCATTTTTTAAATTAAATTTATCATATTGCATTATGTACATCAAATAATCAATTTAATAAAACAAAAAATTATATTTAAAATCTCAAATGTTGACAGTAGAACATGGAAAAATTCTTTCAGAATTCTCAGGATTCAAACTTTATTCTCATTTGCGGAACAAATCTATCAATAATAACTATGCGTAATATCTAAATCTACTTACATAGTAATCATAAATTCTACAAAATGTTTCTTTAACATGCTAACAAACACAGTGATGAATGCAAAGTAAATTTATCAAATTGATTAAGCACCACAATTGTCACAGCTCATCCAAAGCTGCTTTTGCAAAATGAATCAGAATCACAATTGGAGTTATCAATAATTGTTTGAATGTGTTCCTAAATTTTCTGACGAGCGTACAGAGAATTTAATTACACTACTCCGCATTGATACACATTAAAAACTGTACGCGAGATTATCCAAATGCAAAGCTAATTTGACTGATGAAATATAACATATATTCTACCTAAATGTATACTTGGTATTTCTCATTGATTAACATTAATATTAATAATATTATAATATTAATATTAGTGTAATATTAATTATTTAGTAGTAATATTAATATTAGTATTAATATTAATATTATTAGTTTCTAATTAAATAATTTTAAGTATAATACAATCTTTTTAGTATATCAGTGCGAAGTAGCTCAAGTCGAATTCGTCACTAAGTTCATCAGAAAATACCTGCTATTTCAATCATTTCACAACTATCCGTTCTGTATCTATTTTCTCCTTATCTATTTTCTGATCGCTAATATATGTGTTTAATTATCATCGATATATTTTACTTAACAGATAAAGACAGAAGAATGTGTAACATGTTCTATGTAAAATTAACGTTCTGTGGTATAAATTGATATCAAAATCCTGAAGCAAACGATACATTTTTAAAAGTAGCGCATGAGTTACATCTATAAACGGCACAATTGTATCAGTTTTATTTCGTAGTCCGACTTGAGTATCACTATTACGAGAATATTCGAAATGTTTGATAAAAGCTAACGACCATTCACAGGTAAAGTTTGTTGCTTTTATTTTCACGATTCAAACTCAAGTAATATTTTGTCTTTATGACGGATCGTAGAGATCGGTTTCCTGTTGCAAAGAATCGATCTCATTGTCATAATAGCTGTCGGAATCTTTGAAATCAGGAACTACAACAATATCGATAGCGTCCCCCTTCAGTTCGTAAGCGTCATCTTCCATCTCCTCTTCCACTTTTACATTCCCCACGTTGTGGTCCTCGGTGAGATGCGTAAGAAGAGCGGGTAAGGCGTAAAATATTTTGTCACATAAATTGCATTGAAATGTCTTACCGTCGACCGCGCGTAAACAATGCATGTAATCTTTCATGGGTTGGTAAACTTTTCTGTGTAGGGCCATATGTTTCTCATGGTCCATGGAGAGAATAAATTCATAAGAACAGATAGGACACTTCAGGTTGTGTTTTGTCCACATTGTGTGTATCTTCAGTCGATGGAGACTCTCGTAGACCTCGCCGCAAATGGGACACTTGAGGCATATGTGATTTTCCAGGGTCTCCGTGTTCTCGTACATACCGCTACATTCGTTGCACTGATACGACTTTTGTTTCTTGCAGGTATGCTTGGACCAGTGTTTTTCCAGCTGAGCCAAGAGGTCGAATACCAATTCGCAAACCGTACAGACGAACATTCCATGATGATCCCGTTTCAAGCCACATTCCAATATACTGATCGAGCACTGATAGTGTTTTTCATAGTTGTCCTTGCGCAATAAGCTCTCGTTGCAGGACTCGCATTGGTTTTGATGCTTGGTCAAGTGAGCAAATAACATTCCGGGCTCTGCGTTCGAATAATTACAAAAATTACACATGTAACTCTCCGCCGTCATATGCAAGTGCGAGAGCAAGTGCCTCTGATACGTATGTGGACTGAAGAACGTCGAGCCGCATGCGGGACACTTCAAATAGGGTCTCTTCTTATCTGTATAGTGCAGAGACAGAGGATTTAACTTCTTTGTCCACTTCTTGTCCCTTTTCATCTTTTCCAGGTTGTCGTACGTAATACATTCGATTTTGGGGATACGTTCGTGCTCCTCGGAAGACGTGCTTTGGCTGGTTTCGTCCTGTGTTGCTTGATCGCTGTTAGCTACGTACTTCCGCAAGTATACCATCTTGTTGTAACTGTGTTTCCACCTGCCGTTCTTTTGATTCTTGGAGATTTTATGCATACTCTGTTCAAGCAGTTCCTCCATCCTCACTTCCGCATCCTCGAGAGCCTCCAAGGGAGGCATTAGAATGTAATTGTCCTCATTGGACACAGATGGTTCTATCTTACAGGATACTTCAGAAGCATGCTTCGTAAGATACAACAAATCTAGCGGTGTCTCCTCTTCTTGAGGTTCCACTTTGTGTGATACAGCCTCCACGCTGCTCCGTAATTTTCGCCCACTGCTACTGGCATGCTTACTCTTTCTGTGGCCCTTGCTCTTCTTCTCCTCTGTGGTCTTTCTCGTTTTTTTGGGCAGGTTCTCGCTCTCGATCTCGTCCAGCTTCAGCATCCTGTTAGTCTTCAAGTCGCGTCGCCTCATTGACGCTGTATTACACAATCAATGGAACGGGGTACGCGTGTTTACAATTGTCAGACGTTGTGACATAACCTGATACCTGTGTCCTATTAACAGACAGATGTGAGAAAACATGCGAAAATCTCGCCGATTCTGCGAATATCTGATTCATGTACTCACGTATCGCGATCAGTCGCAAAGTCGACAGCAGCCCTGGTTGTGCTTTACGACGCGCTGTCACATTGCACCCCTCGAGCATTGATTTTTCCGGGATCCGGATTTCTCCGGACGCATGGCCGTCCGCTGTCCTAGGGCGGAGAAGTCGTGTAGAAACACAACGTGCCGATCTTCGTCTCGTAGCTCGTTCAGGAAAACAAGTATACGGGAAACTGACTGCACCCTGGCGTTTCTCTTCCCCAATAACGCTGGATGGATCAGCTGTTCTACGAAACGGATGCGAGAGAGAGAGACCGAACGATCTTGTTCGCCATGCCGTAGCGTCGCTTACCGTCCTCGCGTTCTGCTTTCAAGAGTAGAAAGGGCTCGATAACGGATAACGGGCCGTGGTAGCTCGCGCCGCGAATCGATCAGAAAGAAAGGAAGGAAGAAAGAAAGAAAGGAAGAATATGCTCGATGTGATCTCTTTGGCTTCTTCCCTCGGACAACACACCCAGGCGATAGTGCCCGGATATTCGCCTATTTTGTTTTAAACGAACTTCCTGTTTGTCGGGAAAAGAGGAGGAGGCAAAGAGATTGTGTGACTTCTTCTGATTTGCACAGATTCTTTTAATGTTTATTCTCGTTACTTGTAGATTATGAAATAAAATTACATTATTTTTTGTTAATGTATTATATGTAGAAGTTAAAAACGAAGTTCGATGTTAGTGCGAAAATATCTCCCCCCCCCCTCTCTCTCTCTCTCCCCCTCTCCTTTCTCTCTCCTTTCTCGCTTTTGTTCTCTCCTCCCCTCCTTCGCTCTCTCGTTCTTTTTCTTTCTCTTCTCTTTCTCTTTTTCTCTCCCTTTCTCTCTCTTCTTTCGCCATATATACAGTGTCTTTCAAAGATTTATATTGCAGGGCTGTTAATAAAAAATGCGACACTTGATATTACATTGCAAATTTTCAAATAGAATAAAAAGTCAAAATGACATTAAAATGATATTAAAATGACGTCAAAATAGCATTAAAATGAATATTAAAGGTCATTTATCGGTCCCATCATGATTTATTTTAATGTCATTTTGATTATCATTATAATATCGATCTTACCCAAGTAGAATACAAAAGAGAATCATAATTAATTAAGTCATAATTAATAATATCATAAAACGTCATTTGATACTTAAAATGAAATTATAAACGACAAATAAGATCACGATGATGTCCATGCATTAGTCCATATTATATATATGATTTCAGTGTTCTACTTCAGTGAATTCATATACTAATGCGACACGCGGCTTATTATAATATTAATATATATGGTTCTGTGAGAAGCTACAGCTACCTATTTTATTATCGCATTATAAGAAAATTACCTAGACGATATTATTTGTCTCATTAATCTATATATCTGCTATATTTTATTGTATTATAGAGGCATGCACGGTACCTGTCTCTTGTAGACAACGGAAACGCGTAAAGAAAAAAGGAAAAAAAAGAACCGTGACCACCGTGACAAAAATTATGAAAAGGAAAAAAGATGCAAAAAGCATTTAATCTTCAAACTTTTAGCTTTCTCGAGACTCTTAGAAAACGTTGAATTAATATTTCCATTATAGACTTGCGCATTCCGAGCGAATCCACGGCACGACTTTGCGCGAAATGTATAAGAAACCCCCGCTATATTGTCATTATATACTCTCCACAAAAAGCCCTCGATGTATAATTCTAAGAGAATCCTAAATAGTTTATAATGCACAAAATACTTAAGAATTCTTCCTTTTATTCTACTAAAACTTCCCTTAAAATTATATACATAAACGGATAGTTGATCTAACAAGTTCGTTGATTCTCTCTCTCTCTCTCTCTCTCTCTCTCTCTCT